GGTGCAACATGGCAAAAATGTAAAGGGAGCCTGTAGCAGCAGTACATGTTTTCTTCATATTTTGTATTTCTGTGGAGACTAGGTTGTGTTCCCTGTTGGAGTGAAGCGTCAGAAGGGAGCGAACTGTGGTCTGAAGGCTGTTTATCTGCCATCTCAGTTTTCTGCAACAAGCTTCTAGAAGCATTCATCTCCCAGGGTACCACTCCTCCTCCCTGCAGCTCCCCTGGACTTTGAAGAGAAAGCAGGGCTACTTTTGTGTGGATTTAAGTTACAGGAATGAAAGGATGTGACACTGTTCCCTGTTCATAACAGTTTCTTCAACTATTGTTTCTCCCACCCACCGACTATAAACAAACATTAGGCTTAGGTGAACAGTACCTTCTACTCCCCAGCAACTGCCACCTACCTTTCTATTTCTTATTCTTTAAAAATAAATATATTGCTAAGCTTTAGTTTCAATTTCACTGACAACTTGTATTGCAACATAGCACCCTTTTAGAGCTGTGTTTATAAGCACACCTCCCAGATGCTGATAGGGTTCCTCTGAAACATTTTGGGCAACGATGCAGAAGGCATTTAAAATCATTTACTTGTAGGACATCGAGGTTCTTTTGTGTGACTCGATACAGCGAGGATTTCTGTAAAACTGGCTTCATTTTATAGATTTGGGAAGAAGAACTACTTAGAATCATAACATTAATTTTAGTTTTAGTTAAGGTCTGTTTAATGTGAAGTGCCCACTTTACGCTGGCAGACAAATTACCAATGGGGCAACTAGAGAATGCATGAATGATAATGTACAGACAAGCTTTTTATTATTTATTCATAGAAAACAGTGGGTTTTGGTGTGCTGCTTTGAAAAATGTTCAAACTAGTAGAATATAATGAAAGCACAGTGAAAATTCTATTTCATTAACATTTAATCATAAATCGCTCTTTAATATAAAACATAAAATAAAAGTCTGTCATAAGCACTTAGGTGTAGAGAATGGAGAAAGTCTGCAAAAAGAGGAAAGGAAATACTGCAGTGGTTTTCACTGTTCCTGTTATCTGTCACTTCAGAAGAAAAAAATAAGCAAAGAAACAACAGTCTTCAGCCAAATCTCACAACTGGTCATGAAGAAACTGCTTAGACATTTCTCGAAACCTTACATTTTGCTGGCTAAAAGTATTACCAACATCTATAGAAAAGGAAACAATTATTTTAGCAAAATCACAACAGCTCAGGAGCAGCAACCTTCATCAGAACTCTGCTATCCAGGAAAAAAAATAATCAGAACTTCAAACTGCCAGAGCAAATTCAAAAATCTTTTCCATGAAATATCTATTACCATGTTTATCGTATAACAAGTATTCTCAAATTCCCCTTAGAGGTATACAAGAGTGGTGCACAAATAACAAGCTCTTACAAACTACCAATCTTCAAGGCTTATAGAACATTAGATCTTTGTAAAATACAATAGATTATGTCTCTTTTCAAGACCTCTTGTCAGAGAGGTCTTACTCATTTCTCTGTAAATATAAATGCAGTATTACAGTACTGGTACTGATTTGAGTAACATCATACTGTCAGTTAGCAAAACACATCTGTAGACACAAAGGATGCAGGCCACAATGTTTTTTTAGGTTTAGACAACCTGCACATCTCTGACAAAGAACAGAGCGATTCTCTTTATTGAAGACAATCTACCAGTAACTGTTACCTGTAGGACACAGTAACACAGTATCCTCCTCCTCCTTTCACAGACAGCCCTTTCTTTACCTAACAAATAGCAGCCACCACCTGAGCAGAGCTTATACCTACAGCCCCTTACACATTTCATTGTCAGCAGCTAGAAAAGCATGTTTGACTCCTGCCAACAGCAGTCTTGCCACATGGAAAAATTGTTTGAGAAACAGTAGAAAATAAGCATCAATTACACTATAGTGACTTCTTTCTCCCAGCTATCATTAAAAATTCTGACAAGTCAGCCAAGCAACCAAAACTCTCGATACATTTTGCCATAAAGCAAACAAAAAACCCCAAACAAAACAAATCTAAAAGCACCTTCTCATCTGCTTTGCTTATATCCCAGGGGCTTCTCGAACAGCCAGCTCTGCAGCCTGCTCAGGAAATGAACGTTTAGGCAACAAGGGTTTTCCCAGAGGCGAGATTTTTTAAAAGGAAAATAAAGCCCTTTGAGAATGCTTCCTTTCTCTGTTTTACAGTGATGTGGATCGAGCATAAAGCCTCTGTTGATCACAGCTGAGTTAGGAAGACTGAAGAGAAGCAATCCTCCAAGTAGGCATGTTTCAAGATCGCTTTTTTTTTCCCCAATCGAGCTCTCTGCTACCAGGTAACCTTACCAGACGCTCTTCCTCTGACTTTTCTGCTGAACGGTATGACTGTGCGTGCTACAGAACTGACATTGTGGGCATGAAATGATAAATTAGAAGTAATTGCTGAAACCGTCATTCATGAATTGTGGGCCATTATCTCTTAATGCATCTGGAATCCCGGAGTGAGCAACTTGTGATTCACAAAGCAATATTATGTTGCTGTGCCTCATGTTGTGCAACAGTTCAGTGACGAGTGAGTAGTGGTCTATGAACTAAATACAAAACTTCCCATTTAATTGGAACAGATCCATGCCTCCTCCAGATGAAGGGCAAGCAGACCCATCATTGTTATCTCTTGGTGTCCTTTCCTTGTTTATTGTCTTTCCCTGAATACTGTACATTATTTTTTGATATTCACCTTAAAACATGGCTTCTATTCCTATCTGGACAGGTTGGTTTACCTTTGTACAGTTCTACCTAATTAAGACAACCCATGTAAATTGCCCTTGACATTTTTGATCAATAGCTATCCTTAGCATTTCCTCTCTTCTGTATCCTCAGAACAGATATAACCAAGTGCAATAACTTTAGAAACAATGTCTTTAGCTTAGAGGAATGTAAGCTATTTCTGTTGACCATTCATTTCCAGAAACTGCTTCAAACATTTTTAAAGAAGAATCATCCTGTTTCTTGTTGAAGTGTACTTATAAAAACCAAGCTCTTAAATAAATTTGCGATTGAGTTACACAAGCTTTAAGATTCTCTATTTTTTCTTTCAGTCTTTATCACAGCTCCTATATCACATCTGTTCTCAGTTAAGTCTCATCACAATTCTGATTTTGAATTGATGATCATTCAGAGCACTTATTTCAGATGCTCAATTCATGTTACTTAGCCTTATCATTTGGTTCAGCCAAAAAAACCCCAACTACACCAGTTAGCTCACATAGCAATTTCTTGTAATATCTTTCCAAAGTAACATGCCATTATATATATAGATGAAAGTCCTCTTGAAGTTTTGCAATCACTTTGTCTAGCAATCTACCATCATCTTTGGACTTACTACTTTGCAGTACAAATTGTTGATACTCCATCACTATAGGTTACTTTATTGCTAGATCTGCTGCCATGCTATTTGCTTCCTAGAAATTTCCAACTAATAGCTTCCAGTTTTTGGACTTTTCAGGATTAGATCATTTAAGTTTGCTTGTCCACTTTTGGTGTAGACAATTTAATTTCGATGAGATAAGAATGTGATACACAGGCAGCTTCATCAGCAACCCTTTGTGGTCCTAATTAATAAGGAGATTATTAGGCATTTAACTCAAAGCACATGAGCAATTCCATACTCTTCAGGGACATGTCCATCTTCCACATGGTATGGTTACAGCCAGGTTATGTAGGTACTGATGCTGGTGGCTACTGTCACGCTTATGCTCATCTTCTTATTAGACTTTAATGACATTTTTTGATCCTATAAGAAACAAACTTCACTAGGACTACGTTAAGTTGTAGTACATGCCAATTTTGAAATGTGCAATTATAGCCTGATACAAGACTGACTCCCTGTTCTACATAGCCGAGGTAATAACATATATTCATAACCTTGTCCAGGGTGCTCCTGGACTCCACTTTCATTTGCTTACATTTTAACTATGCTTTCCATTTCAAAGTCTGCTTTAAGCTGGCAAAATTTGTAACATTACAGATTAACCCAGAGTTAAACTGGATGCTAGAATCAGCCACGGTAGCCTTGGGAATGAACTGCAAATTCCACTGATTCCCTTTGTGGATTCTGAATGCCTGAGAACAATGAATACTTAAAAGTATGTAAGAAATAGGCTTTGGGTGTTCCGGTGTCCAAGAATAATGGACGCTTCTGACAACTTTTGGTCTTAATATAGCAACTTCCTACCATGATGTGGAAGAAAAACCCCCCTAACATTTGTTAAAAAGTAGATACTACAGAGACAAGTGTCACAGAAAATCTTATAATGCAAATAGTATCTTTACATTCCAAGATTTCTATCATATGCCATGAAAAAGAAGGCCCTGAGTTACAACATGAACAATGAGTATAAAATGAAATACTGAACAGCTGCTCATTCCATGAATACCCTCCATCCAGTGTAACACATGATAGAGTCATGCAGAAAGAGTAGTTTGCAGTTGTGCAATTAAATCCCTTATTGTAAAGCATATGCAAAACGGCCCAAGCAGCCTTAATTTTATTTCTTAACTTCTGACTGCTTAGTCCTCATACGTTTTTTAATGTTGAGAATTTTTTATTCCTGTAATTAGTAGTAGATACTACACAGCGAAAACTTCCTTCACCATCCAGGCAAAGGGCATGTGACAAAAGGACTATATAGTATTCTCAAAGCTCATTTGTATGAGGCTGGAATTTCTCACAGTCTGGGCTGCCATTTTTCCCACTTTATGTTCACAAACTCCCTTCTCGATATTCAGTAGCGTATGTTTGTGGTAGTGAGGGACAGATGCTCAATCTCAACAAAGATCAATGTGGCTCCAGGGAGCACTGTAGCATCTTTTCTCTGATATTAGACTCCACTATCCCGAGGCTGTTCCTATGTGGCAGCTTATCAGGTTGCCAGTGTGTCTTTAAGATAGCTCTCTTTATCTTATTTTTTTAAACAAGAATGTATATTTAAAAGACATACCTGTCCAATAATAAGGGGGACTACAACAGTCATAAACAGCTGTGAGAATATAGATGTAAAAGGCACAGAGGACGATGATCCAAGCTACAAAATAAAAACATACCGTTAATATTGCACTTTTTCTTAGTATCTGCAAATTTCATACACAGATATCACACATTAGTATACATTTTATTTTACACATAAAAACTTGAAAGTACAAGTACATGTTTAATTGTTAAATCCCAACAAAGCATTTGGTATTCCACAAGAACAAAACTAAAACAATCTCTGGATGATTACTTTATAACCTAAGGTAAGAGTTCCATCAATATTCATTTAATTGAAACCCTGCTACACACATATACCAAGTAAATTATATAAGCACTTGTAGGATAATAGTCAAAAAAGACAGGAGGTGAATCTTCCTAACTAAACAGTTAGCTCAACTAACCTTACCATTTATATAAATACCAAGCAACAAAAGAGTGTAGTTATTTCAGTAAATAAATAAAAATAATAAAATAGTGAAGACATTCACGTTATATTTCAATGATGTTAAAAAAAGTGATCTACCAAAAGCATGTAACTATTCTTTAATTCAGACAACTAAACTGTGACAGGATTAGTCTTCAAATAGGTATTCTCTTTATTTATGACTGTAAATGGTAAAAATATTAATTTTAAAGATGCAGGTAGAAAAGCTGAACACACAGAGTCAATGGGATTTTTGCAACGTATTTCAGAATGCTTAGAAAAATATGCAGTATTTTTTACATTCTGATTTGTCTTGTTTTATGCGCTAGGTCATTGAAAAGTTTCGTCTGATGTAATTTAACATATCTTTAAGAGCAACAGAATACGCATTAAGAAATATATAGTAGGAAGGCTGAAATATCATTGTCAGAGCTTCCACAGACAACCGTTTGCTTCGTGATTAGGGTGGATGACATAACATTGAGGATTTCACAGATCCACATTATTTTGTATTTTGCACTTCACTTTAAAGATCCTCAAAACCATGACAGAATTTAGAATCTTTTCAGCTCCATCTAAACAATGCTGATTTCCTAAAACATTCTCACATACGTCATTCTCATAAATTACATTCACATGACATTATAATTTTGACACTTATCTTCCTTTCAAAGCTACCTACAGGCATGATAAACAAGGTGATCGTACAATCTAAGTCACTTTCTACAACTCTGCCTAGAAAAATTAACATATGGCCCTAAAAATGGGTTTGGCATAAAACCAGATTATTCAGAAATTCAAAGAACACAAAAATCAGAAACTTTACATATTGAAGGATTTCACTTTACTCAGAATTGTACAACTGCAACCTTTACCTACAGAAAACAATTGAGGCGAATACACCAATTATACCACTTATGCAGTGGTTTATGTTCGTATGCACTGCTTTTTGTAAATGCCGCTTGTATATGCACTGCTTGGGAAAATGGTGAACATGCCTGCGGGGCTGCCTGTTTGCAAGCTCAGCTTTTGGTGCACACAAATGGCATCAGAACTAGAAAACAGCACAAAATGGAATTACATTCTGACACTAGGAAATCATGGGACTTTGAGTGTTGCTTGCTAAGTTTAGAGTTTAAGAAAGTGGGACCAGACCAAATTATTCCTTCTTTAAACATACTCCACCACTTGCTTTCATATGTCCTTTTCTGAACACACTCCAGGTAGAAAGCTTTGGGCAGAACATATGGGATATGGCCATTTCCTATGCGTTACCTTAACTGGTGAGATCAGGTAAGACTCAGTTTGGCCATTTAATAAATCACAGCATCTCGTCCCCGGTCACCTCCAATTTTAACAATGTGAGCACAGAAGATGGTTGGAGGGGACCTGAAGATGATGTCATCACTGAGACTTCTGGTCTGCAAGTAGTGTGCAAGTGAGAGCACTGAGATGAAGAAGCCTAAACTTTCCATGGAGTCGAGAGGGAGAAATAAAGGCTTGCAGGGGAAAATTCATATCACCCATGTCAGCAGCTGAAGACAGGCGGTACAGCTACTCCATTCCCAAAGGACATGGGGCTCTCTGCATGATTCCCTGCAGAAAGTGGAGCAGAAAACTCCATCATACCACTCATGATCTCCTTGTTGTTTTAATTCTTGTAAGGAGCTTCTGAAATTTTAAAAGGTTCATAGTTTTTCAAACTGTATTTGGACTTATTTTTTGCTACGTGCCAAGGAGCTAAAAGCATTACTTACTGTGTATTCAAGGAAGCTTTTTCAAGTAAAAGTGAAGATTTTTAAACTTTAAAATATGCCTGGGTCACACAGGAGTGAATCTAACCAAGCAGTCCACATGACAGGACCCTCTGCATAGCTTCACAAAACTATGACACTTTGGCAGTGGCTCTTGTGCATTTTTATAAAAACACTGATTGGACTTCTCTCGCTAATTTAAAGTTTTATGCTCAGTGGATGCGTGATCAGTTTCTAAGTCAGTAATGAAAAACTGTTCAACAATATCACACTGCTGAAAAAGCCAGCCATTCAAACAGCAACAGTCTTGCCAGCTTTTTAAAATATTACTTTAAATGTAGTGTCTTCAAGCTGTTGTAGATTCTTAAGCATATCAGGAAATGCTTTGGTTTGGATGTGAGGTTTTTGTTATTTTTTGTTTGGTTGGGGTTTTTTACATAATTAAAAAGTGAATTACAGGTACTGTGCTGGGATGCTAAGCCAATTTACACAGGAAATGTAAAATTATTTTATTTAAAAAACAATCTTCTACACCAGGGTATCAGGGTATGGTTCTTCACCTTGTCAACTTCACTCCACCCATCCAGGCTCATCTCACTGTCATGTGGACCACTAAAGGCAGACATTTCAATTAACCATCTCACTCTGACTACCTTTTAAATAAAACAGAAATCCACATATCAGTCCAAAATGTCAACATGAATAAATAAATAAATGATTCAGCAACGCTACTTTTGCTCAGAGGAACTGAGTTCTTAACTACATCTGGTTTGTAGGAGAAAAAAATCCTCTCCTCCTTGTAAAAAAAAGCCATGTTTTTTTGCTTCTAATATGACTCCTCTCCTGCATGATCCTATGACCACATTATTTTTGATCCTGCTTCAGTTGTATAGTTGAGAATATTTGTTTCCCTTCTGCATATGATGAACATAACTTCAGTGGACTAGTTTTATCAGAATCTACCTGTTAGATGTGTATAAACTCTTCTATTAATCTTAAATCTATTCCCAGAGAAAGACATATAAGGTAAGATGAAGGCTGAAGAAAAGAGAAGTCAGGAACTTCTCAATCACACAGAAGAAAAAAAAAAAATAATAACCCAGACTCTGGACATACAGTAGCTAAACATGAGGAGTCATAAACGCTAGAGGATCCACAGCTAGCGGATGCATAACTTGACCAGGACTGCCTCAACCTCTCTAGTATGCAAACTCATCCAGCTCACAAACCTAAGTGTCTCATGGACTCTCAGTCATTGCCTGGGTTTCAGACTTCCTTTGAACTTGGTATGTTCATCAAATCCATTCTGACAGAAAAGTGAGAACTGAGGAACACAGGAAACAAAAAGCTTGACATAATGTTAATCACACCTTCCTACACATTTAAAAATGCAGATATTCTGTCTGAACAAATAAATATGTTGTTGCTCAGGTTTTAGTTGGATCAAGCTAAGTTTTGTGCTCTATTTGCTGTCATGAAACAAATTTTTTTTAAAAAACCACCTAGATGATCTGTGTTGCACCAATATTAGCATTATGCTAAAATGTCTGATTATATTTGGCTGTCCTCCATGTTGAAATCATCTCTATGCCTAAAAATTAACCTTTCTTCAGAGCAAACTAACAGAAGTACTATAAGAACTATGGTGTAAGAACATCACAGATTCAAACTGCTGATGTATAGCTATAAAAATAATCTGCTTAGAATCTCTTATGGAAGATAAAATGTACCATTTAATGAAAACATCACAAATTTTCATGTCAGCGTATTGTCTATGCTTATTTTAGAACATTTTTTAAGGAAAAGTTTGATATTGTAAAGTGATCATTATGTGCTACTCTGGATAGCAGCATTTCAGTTAAAGGTTTATTAATAAACCAGGCCTGCTTGAATAGACCCACTATTCAAAAAAAGAAAGACCTTGACAATTCCTGCTTACAGAAAGGCACTTTTCACTTAAATAATCAGAGTGATTTGAAGATAGCTCAAGATGAGCAGGAACTGCACCTTCTGCAAGTGTTTGCTGGATATGGCTCTAATGAAAGAGAATTCCAGGCAAATCTTTCCAAACAATTCTGTCACTGTGTAGTACTTCAAACCTGATCTGCACGTTGTGGTTTAACCCCAGCTGGCAACTAAGCCCCACACAGCTGCTCGCTCACTCCCCGCTGGTGGGATCGGGGGAGGGAATCACAATGATAAAAGTGAGAAAACTTGTGGGTTGAGGTAAAAACAGTTTAATAGGTAAAGCAAAAGCTGTGAAGGAAAGCAAAGCAAAACAAGGAATTCATGCCCCACTTCTCATGGGCAGGCAGGTGCTCTGCCATCGCCAGGACTGCAGGGCTCCCTCACACATAACAGTAACTTGGGAAGACAAATGCCATCACCCCAAACATCTCCCCTTCCTTCTTCTTCCACAGCTTTGTATGCTGAGAATGATGCCATCTGGGATGGAATATCTCTTTGGTTAGTTGGGGTCAGCTGTCCCAACTGCATCCTCTTCCCAAATTCTGTGCCCCTGCCCTGGCCACTCACTGATGTGGTGGGGTGAGAGGCAGCAAAGCCATTAGCTCTGTGTCAGCGCTGCTCAGCAGTAACTAAAACACCCGTATTATCAACACTGTTTCCAGCACAAATCCATAACACAGCCCTATCCTAGTTACCATGAAGACAACTTTACTCCAGCCAAAACCAGCACACTGCAATATTCTTGCTAATTTAGTTCAAGACCTCTCTTCTCAAGAGACTGCTTGTTTTAAAAAACTCCTGGCAAATTATTTACCGGGTTTCTTGATGAGTCTGTGGTAGAAACATTGGCTTATCCTTATTTGATAGGCTATATTTAACTTGTGGTAAAAACAAAGAGCAAAACCC